GCCACCTGATAACACTCATCTGAACTCTCCTCCTCTGAAGATTCCTTGGGAGGGGCGGAAGGTTCAGCAGGCTTCGACGCCACCTCCCTGATCACATTCTGCAACATTCCAGCCAATTCTGACACAGACATCCTGTCGTCCTTTTCAGGACAATGTCTGAACTGACAATGGACCTTCAGTCCCATTTGGCTGCATTTCTCCATCAGTGCATTAGTGGGCAATCCATCAATCTCCTCAAACGGCACTCCCGCTTGTCGCAGTGCCCTCCACAGATCTGTTCTAGAGGGGCCCATTGCCCCCCCTTTACGACCCCTTGAATGTGGATCAATCCTGGGTTTATTTTCAGTTCTAGCTCCCTCTCTCCTCGTCTCAGACCAATCACCCAGCGTGGTGAGTTCGCCAAGACGATCTTTTATCGCGGCAAAAGTCTGGTCTGCCGCGCCAAACAACAAGCTGGTCACCATGGGTTTATAATGTGGTGGGGCATGTCTGATGAGGTGGTCTCTAGTTGCCTTAGAGATGTTACAGTCCACCACTCCAGCTCCCCCGTTTCGAGCCACTTGCTCTCTAATAGTGAGTCTGGTGAGCCGCTGAATGGCATCTCTCACTGTCTGCCATTGCCCTTTAATCTCAGACCAGTCCGCCGTGGTAGGATAGATTACATGACATGCCAGAGCATATGCATCCCCCACATTGAAATCTTCATCAGCTGGCAATGCCCGGACTGTAGCCCGGTATTCAGCATTTATCTGTGCATCAGTACTTAATCCTGAAAATCTCATGGCATCACCGGCATCTATGGCTATATCACACGCGCCATCCTCCATAAGGCGATTAAGCCAGGAGTCAGTTGGTTCGCCTGGGCGCTGTTTCAGCTTCCCATTCATGTGATTTAACTCATCTTGTGAATAATCCTCTAGCGTTGTTAGCAGCCTAGGGGCGGGTTGTGGCTGCTGTTGTAACATCCTTCTTATATTACCCGCCTCATCGAGTTCCGGCCGTCCCTGATCATCCACCATATCTACCAGTATTGGTGGAATAATTTGCTGTTCTCGCCGACGCCTAGTAATAGGTCTTTGTTCTGACATCTTTATCCCCTGTAATGATGGATACAAGGGCTGAGGTGGTGGGTCAGGTTTAATCGCCCACTCCTCCTCCTCATCATCCCCCCAAAGATCCCCGTTCCATTTCTCCGGGTTCCAATCTTCACCAACATTCTTTACAAACGCCCGGATCTGAGCAGGACCTGTTCTACGAGGTCGCTTCTTTTCCTTCCTTTGCGCTCGAGACACAAAAGTCAGCGTTTTATCCAAAACATTCTGAGCATGCTTTAGCTCTTTCCCCATCACACACACTCTCTGCTCAAACTCTGAGCATGATTTTCCAACTTCTTCAGCATGGATTTTCTCCTGCGCCGCTCGCTCTCTACAACTGCTCAATTCTAACTCCTGTTTTTTCCATGCTTCTGCAAAAAGCCACATCATATCTCTCACTCCTGCCAGCGGCGCTTTTTCTTTAACTTCTATCCGCGTCAAACGGTCCAGCACCACGGCGGGGCTGACCACTCCATTTAACTCTCCCCACGGCCCAGGGCGTCCACCGCGCTGCCTTAACATATCACCAATGGTTCGGAACTCCTCCGTTTCCCAGCCGGGAATCGGCACGGGAATCGGCGTTCCCTCCCCAGAAGCACTCGGCTCCTTTTTGCTTCTCCAAAAACACTTCATTGTTGCTGGAATAGCTTGACTGATCCTGTTCGTGACGCCAAAAATGTTCTAAAATAAAATGTTTTATTTTATTTTAATTACCTTAAAAGACTCAAAGTCTCTTTTTACACTTTATATTTATTTAGTCAGGATCGTTGTCAAGTCGACGCCAGAAACAATGAAACACAACTTGAATATCAGATGAACAACAAGGCTTTATTCAACCGGCATTCATACAAGTTATCAATCATGAACGAAACATTTCTCTTACCGTTGCTTATGGGTGGAGAGCTGAACACCCCAGTTAGAAAACGTAATCCATGATAGGTGAAGAACTGAACACATGTAATCCATGAACCTCGTCAGGTAGAATCCTTCAAGCAGCTCTAACCCCCCTGAGCCCTGCTCTGCTCCTTATACATTCCCTGATGTGCGTGCAAAGCTGCACACCTCCACCATGATTACCTTGATTACATCCTCATGATCACATTATGTTCGGCTCTACCATGATTACCCTTGATTACATCCTCATGATAAGTGTGATTGACAAACAGTAGTGATCAATAACTTATATAAAGCAATTATACAACAGATGACAAGTTCATTTTTATTACAGCTTCACTTTACTAAATGTGACGGGTGATTGGGTGAAGATGAAACCAGCGACATCGATCTAAGGTGAGGCATCATCGTTTTAATCTGCTCCAGCAGCTAAATAAACTGTTAAAGATAACGTTAGCTTGATAAGTTAGCTTCCATTGCCACCATTGTTATGAGCTAATGGTGCGTTCGCTTTCTCCTCGGAAATTCTAACTTCCCAGTAGGAAAAATCAAATGAAAAAGGACGGCAAAAGGAATGAAGATGCACAGTAAATTTAGTTCACAGTAAAGATGTTTGCTTCAGTTTAATTATCAGCTTATAAAACTACAAGGACGATGTTAAAATACAAACAGCTGTATGTTATTAATCATGATATTTATCAAATATGGTTATATATTGAGAAAAATATGTATTTAATTATAAAAGAGAATTAAAATATTAAACACTCAAAAGTATCTAAAATTGGTACAGTTAAGTACCGGTATCGATTCCTAGGTACCAGGAATTAGTACCGAATCGATTCAAATGTCAAAGGTACCCATCCCTAAAGGTGAGAGTTCTTGAAAAAGCTACTTTTTGAATCTACACAATCCAAAGGTCCAACCCCCTTTCTCCTCACAAGCCCCGCCTCCAGAATACAGGAACGTGCAGTGCTTGATCCTGAGGGTTCAGTTTCACGTTTTCAGCCGGTTGTTGACAACTTTTCGGCCATCATTCCTAACAATTTAATATGCTAGCTAGCATTTTCATAGTTTTTAGCTTTCTTGGTGTATTCATTGACAATCTGGGAAAACTTCAAAAAATCAACAACCCACTCTGATCTTCCTCCCACTCGCTTCCCTTTCTCCTCTCACATCTACGGCCACATTCAAAGGATGAAATGTGTTTTTACAGTTTTTTTTTATTGCTAAAACGCGTTTTTCAAAACTGCACACACAAAACCCCAAACATAACACACAAATTCCTAAACCGTGGCTTCCCTTTGCAACAAAACCCTGCCTTCACATATCGTAACGTTCCCAAAATGGAACATGTGTTTTCATTTGGTAAACACAGCCACATTTTCACATGACACACACACACCATTCATTGCTTAAACACAAGTAGCCTTTGGGTGAACACTACCAAGCATGGAAAGAACACTGAAGAGCAAAACTGAAAACACAATTGTCTAAATGGAACACAATGAATTACACACTGAATCTGTTACAATGCCCACTTCTCTCATAGACAAACAGACATCACACAAATTTTAGACAAAACATTTTATTTTTACACTTCACCCCCCTCCCCTCCCATTCAAGCATAATCATGGGGCATCATGCCTCCGATCTCTGTCTGGCCAGAGGGCCTCATCAACATCACAGGTGATGTCCTCCTGGTCCAAACAGCGCTGGAAGTACTGCCTCGAGTGCCTCATGAAGCCCCGACAGGCCTCAAAGGCCACATCTCTACTAGCCTCCTCCATGGCTTGAAGCAGTGGGACCTGGCTCTGTGGATTCCTTTCGTACACCTTCCACCTCCAGGCTGAGAAAAACTCCTCAATGGGATTGAAGAAGGTGGAATAAGGTGGAAGGTATAAAATGGAAAACAGTGGGTGGTCCTGAAACCACTCATATACCTGGGTAGCCTTGTGGAAACTTGCTTTTATGCTGCAGTCCCTGATTGCAAATTGCTCGCCAGACCCGAAAGTTTAGAGATTCTAATATTTGTGTGTTGTTGATTGAAGCTTTGAGAATTTATGTGGAAAGTGTGTGTAAACCTGAAAATTGTGTGTTGTGTTTTGACAGCAAGGTGATGTGAAATTGACATCAGAGTGTAAAGGAGGAAAATCTAAGTTCTAACATAAGTAAATCTTAAGTAGTGATAAATTGAGTCAAGCGATTGGGAACAGAAGTAGAGGTTGTGAAAAGTGTGCCTCATTTTTGCTTTTTGAGTTTTAGCAATCGAAAAAAACTAAAACATTTTAGAATGAAACAAGCCAGCACCTCATCAGACGTGAAAGGTTTTATATCAACACGGTCAGCCTGAGAGACGACAAGCGTCGGTTCCAGGAACGTTTTCCTCGGAAAAAAAAAAGAAAACCAACAAAGCTGCTAGAGGGATCAGGCGGTCATTTGCCCTATTGCATTCTGGGAATTCATGTCTGTGAAACGGTGATGAACAAGGTTATTGGTGATGAACACGCTCGCACACACACACACACACCCCTGGCCTGATGAGACCCACCCAGAAGTATTGATTCCCTCACTTCTCTTAAGTGCTCTTTCTCACACACACACACACACACACACACACACACACACACACACACACACACACACACACACACACACACACACACACACACACACACACACACACACACACACACACACACACACACACACTTTGCTGAATGAGTTCTTTTAGATGCAGCACATCCAGAAGAAGTGATCGAAGAGGAAGGTGGTCAGTTTTTTGTATTCTTGTTTATTTAAAGAGAAAAAAAGTCAGTTTTCATGAAGCCTCACCTAGAGTATTCACAGTTAACCCTCTAAAGAAGCATTTTCTTGAGGGAACAATGATTGTGGTGCAGAAGTGTGTTTCATTGTTCAGTTATGGCTTTGTGACACTTGGTAAAGTGAAGCCTCTCTGGGGTTTCTGCAGTAAAACCAGATGTAGTCATTTTGGCTCCACTTCCATCTGTTCAGGACTTTGCTGTGTCCACTGTACCCGTCTGTGGTGGAGCCCGACTGAGGAACGTCTGCTCCATGGGGGGTCCAGATACCATCATCATGAGCAGTAGTGATGGAGCCAAGAAGACCCTGAGAGTAAGTCATCCTTTGTTGTGATCCTGCTAAGTTCAGGAGTGGTTTTACTCCCTCAGTCGAAATGTGAAAATCACCGTCCTCATCTTTAATAAGCTACTTAGACAAATTCAATTGTTTAATCCATTTATTAAATGACGCTGAACCTCTTTTTCAACAAACAAGCCCCCAAAATGTAGTCAAACTGAAAAATCTGATGCCTTGCATCCAGCGGGCAGTAACTATTTAGACATTTCTGGAAGACTGGTCTGATTTCTGATATTTGTGACCAAGCCCATTCGCCGAGTCCAGATTCTGATGCTGGGTGTTTCTTTATGGTGTCAGATGATGGAACAGCTGACCGATCACCACTATGAAGTTCTCCCTGTCCCAGAAGAATCTGCATCTAACTGCATCTACATAAAAGGCCCATCCAAGCGGGACTTCCTGCTGCACAGGCCTGCAGAGGAATGTCCGGAGAGCGTCTCTGTGAGTACAGCTGCTTTAACCCATTACAGCCCTCGGTTGGATGCTTTAGTTTGTCGTTTAACGCAATGTTTGTCAAAAGAGCTGCTCCGCTGTCAGTTCCTTCTGATTCCAGAAGCTTTTGTCTTCATTTGTTAAAGAGCAAGTCACCCCATCAGTTTTACTCAACTCCTACTTCCTGTTTGAAAAATGCAACAAATGCTGTTGCCTAGTAGACCGAGGGGGCGGAGCCGCCAACAAATACACACACACAGGCTCACGACATTGTGACATCATATCGAACCAGCTAACATTCTAGGGGACCTCTTAGCCAATAATGATGGCAGATTTAAATTTAACTGCAGTGCAGTTTTTACCAGACAATGGCACAACACTGACAGTTTTAGGCTGAAAATGTAAATGTTAACTTAAGTGCATAACTATTGACTACACGTGTCTACAGCACGATTAGACACGCATTAATAGTTTATCAGAAAAAATTGATTTGGGGTGACTTGCTCTTTAAAACTCTAAAAAGAATTTAGAATAACAGAAAAGTGTTATTAGGCTAATAGGTATTCAGTCACAAGGACGCCTTTTATTGAAGTCCTACTTGTGAAATTTCATTAGTCTAGCTTCTGATGGACCGTGTGCATTAATGAACATTAATACAAGAAATAATTTTCATTGGTAGTCCCCATTAAAGGCATTACAGGATTAAACTGTTTAAAAATGTTTTTAACAGATAATTACAACTTGGTGGTTTCTTGTTGATCTTATCAACTCTGACTTTAAAAAAAAATTTACGAAATAAACTCAAGTTCTGAGTTTTTTCTTAGACTCTGCACTCTTCACCTTATTTTTTCTAAAATTGTTTTTGTTTAAAAACACTGATTTTGTAGGATGTTAAGTGTTCCAGCCGTGACTCCCACTCGGTAAAGTAGCGTTTTCCTCCCTCGCCCCTTTGTCATGTCATGGCAACCAACAAACATTTCAACGTCAGCTACACGCCTGTTGCAGCCACTTCTGAGTCTGCATGAGTCAAATGTTTCCTCTGAACTCTGCAGGCCTTCCAGAAGCTCCAGGACTACACCCTCCTGCCGACGGCCTGCAGCGAAGCCTCCAAACTGGGAGCATCCCTGTCGTCTCTCTGCCTCCTCATCAACAGAAAACATACATATTTCTGAAATGTTTTATCGTGTGGCTTTTAAATTGATTACAAGGTAAAGAGGAGTTTACATTCAGGAAACTGATGTGTTCTTTGACCCTGACCCAACTGTGGCATTACAAAACTGAAGTTCATTCACTAGTTTTTAAAAAAAACACCATTTTCTGCAGGTTTCACTCCTAAACAACAATGCAGAACCTGTTGGGCACAAAGATGCAGTAAGAGCAGTATAAATTAAGTTTTAAAGCATTTTAAATTGTTTGCCAAATTCAAACAGACCAAGAAAGTGACCTGAACAAGTATTAAAATTACCCAGAATGCATTTTGTGTTCTGGTTTGAGCTCCAAACACCGGTTTTCCACGTGTAGTAGTTTTTCTAGAGATGGTATAAATAGAATCAGATGTTTTTGCTTCCCAGTGAGACTTTGTAGTTATTAATAAAGGCAAACTGATGACTTAAGTGAAATTTCTTCAATTTTATTTGTTTTGTTAGAAAGGGAAAATGTTTAACGGTTGGACTTAGCAACTCTCTCCAACTCGTCCTTCTTCTTGATGGCGTAGGAGTTAGATGAACCCTGGAGATACAGATTCAACTTTAGTACATTTCAAACACGGGATTATTCACATTCCAGGTTGAATCAAATTCACTCTGGATTAACTTCACCTTGGCGGCGTTGATCAGCTCATCAGCCAGACACTCGGCGATGGTCTTAATGTTCCTGAACGCAGCTTCTCTTGCTCCTGTGCACAACAGCCAGATGGCCTGTAGGAAAACACACCGGAGGTGAAACATTTATGGGTTTACTGGTTTAGGGGACTCACCAACAGTAGAATGTGTCTCATATTGTGATTGGCTGGGCCACGACAGACTACAGCCAACGAATAAGCAAAGACATTTTCTCTCCGAGTGCTCTAGCACACCAAGCCAACAAGTCATGACCAGGCGTGACTCTAGCCTCGTTTACCCCGTGTATACATCAGTAAGTGATTGCATACGTATTTATCGTACTTATTTTGAACAAAAAAAAAAAAAAGGTTTATAAAGAACTTGTGTTACCTGGTTGACTCTGCGGAGAGGAGACACGTCCACAGCCTGCCTCCTGACGGTACCAGCACGTCCAATACGGGTGGAGTCTTCACGGGGTCCACTGTTGATGATGGCATTAACCAAAACCTGAAGAGGATTCTGTTGAAAAATAATAAAATTTATTATAAAGCAATCTAAACACAGCCCATTTTCTTCCAATGTCATGGCACTTCCAATAGGGATGCATTTTTCAACACAACACCTACACACCCCAAAGGAAGTAACTTAATGGTTACTCCACGATATCTAATGTTCCCACTGCGCATTAGTACCTCTCCAGTCAACAGGTGGATGATCTCGAAGGCGTGCTTGACGATGCGCACGGTCATCAGTTTCTTGCCGTTGTTGCGGCCGTGCATCATCATGGAGTTGGTCAGACGCTCCACGATGGGGCACTGTGCCTTCCTGAAGCGCTTGGCAGCATAACGTCCTCCAGAGTGTGGAAGGTACTTGGCATACTTCTCTTTCACAGCAATGTAGTCCTGCAGGAGAGGAAGATTTTTATTTAAACACACCCAAACAGGGTCGTTGGGGGTAGGGCGTGTATCTGAGCTGGTGATTGACTGGGCCACATGAGACTACAGCCAATGAATAAGCAAAGATATTTCCTCTGCGAGCACTCTAGCACACCAGGACAACGGGTCAGTACCAAGATGTGACTCTAGCCTCGCTTTAATGCTAAACAGTAATTTTAATATGGATACAAAATTGTAATGATCCATTTTTTTATCCCACATAAACAAGAAGCCCTAAAGCCAACCTGCAGGGAGATGTCATTGATCTGGACGTCATCTGTGCTCCACTTGCCAAAGAGTTTGATTTCAGGGGTCTCAGCCACGGCCGGGGCAGTCTCCCACTCAGTCACTGTTGACAAGAAAAACTTAGATCTTTGGAATATCAATCATTTAAGACAAGCCAATAGTAATAGTGCGGTAAAATACTGAATGCTGTAAAAGTACTAGAAACAGATCATTGCCTACAGTAAATAAGTGATACATGGTCTGTATTTATGTAACGCCTTCCAGTCCTACGAGCTCCAAAGACACTTTAAACCACACCAGCATCTATCTCACAAAAACATCATTTAAATTTAGCTAAATTAATGTCAAAAAGCCAGATAAATGAGACCTAACAGCAAAGGCCCAAGCAGAAGCCTGTTTCACCGTGAACGTCTGTGAATTTAAGCTAACGAGCTAATGCTCGCAATTGATGCATTTTGGTCATTTTTGATTGCGAATTCGGAAGTGATGAGAAAAATGAAAATGAGTCAACCACGTCTCTTGGTAAAATGATGCATTAAATGTAACATGCCGCAGACACATGTGCTAATAAGCTAGCCACATGCTAATGCGGCAACATTCAAAGGGAATAAATCTAACGTTCGGCTTAAGCGACGCACTTTGCGTTGATTTATCAAATGAAGTAACTTCGGATCTCTTTCAAATGCGCGGTTCTACCTATAAAAAATACATTTAAATCGAGTAAATGTCAAAAAGTGGACTCACTAGTGTCTGCCGTAGTGTACCACACTTCTCTGAGACGGAAAAGGGCCTTCACGGGGCGCCGCGAACAGATATCCGGTGAGCTGGCTCAATCTTTCCGGGGACGCAAAGCATGCTGGGAAATGCTGTTTACTTTCATCTCGACCAGATCCCTTTGCTGGATCTTTGTTCGACTTATCTGGCAAAAGTAATTACTAAGTTAAAATAAACTGGTGTAAATCAAACCGAACTCCATTTATTTTTACACAAAATACTTTGTCACAGCTTCAAAAAAGTTAATCAAATTTAATTATTGTTATAAATGAAGTCAATTATTAATTAAAACAACACATTTTGATGTTCAAATTTTTTTTTAATTCATTGAATGACTGCTGACATTTTGGATTAGCCAGACAAATTGTAGAAACTGTCAAAATATTTTTTAGTTTTTAAAAGCTTCATTATTTAAAATAACTGTACAATAAAACCTAAACAGAGCAAAACATCAGTTCAGCCTATTATTGATGAAGTCAAATATACATCAACACTAAAATAAAACAGCTATGTCCCATCTTTGCAATATCCCTTCTCATTGTGCAATACATGCATTGATCACTTACTTTCCTGTTCTAGCACACAGAAACATTTCCATTTTTTCTTTTTGACACACACACACACATTATATATATATATATATATATATATATATATATATATATATATATATATATGTGTGTGTGTGTGTGTGTGTGTGTGTTTGTGTGTGTGTGTGTGTGTGTGTGTGTGTGTGTGTGTGTGTGTCATTAAAACAAGCAGCAAAAATGACCCAAAAAAATGTAAAAATAAAATAACCTTTTTCTGACAAAAAAAAAGTTACTGAATCGTTGGAGATGGAGACAACATAAGCAACCTTTCGGTGTTTCGTAAACACCGATGTAGCACTGCCATCCATTCTCACCTTTATTTTGTTTTTAACACAGACTAAAGGCAGTGTGTGACAGCACTTTGTTAATGAACATGAAAACGAGGCATCAGGGGAAATTTTAAGGCTCGATCTACTAAAAGCAAAAGGAAAACAACTCCACAGTACTGCATAAACATCAGCTCGAACATGCACGCTAACGGGTTTCTGTTTCAATAATGAGGGATTACAAATATATAAATAGCTGCATCACGAGATGACCAGGACAGTAAATCTGTACAGGTCGTTCAGGCACGGTTGTGTTGCATGGTGATACTTGGAGATATGTCAACCAGACACAATGTTACTGCTAATATCAATAAATTAACTTTATACAAACTAAAAGGTGCACAAACTGGCTAAGAAAGAGGTTACTGTAGAATGAGATTTAGGTTTAATTTTGTTAAAGGCAAACTAAGCAGGACATTTCCTGTTCCTGCCGAGATGCTTCCTTTGCCTCTTCCCTTTAGAGGTGATTTCTGCAAATCAAAGATTTTCTCACAAACGTACTGAATGAGTCAGAGTCGATACGCTAAACGATGTCTGCTTTCTCCAACTTCAATGTTTTCATACCAGATGACTCACTCAGGCTGTTAAGATCATTAAAGATCATTACATTTCTCTTGCTCTGATAAAAGCTAGAGCACTTCACCCCTTAAACAAACAACCAGTCGTGAATCACATGACTAAATAAACACACAGCTTCAAACCCCTAACCCCGCAGCAATATCTCCCTTAAAATGAATTAACAGCTAAATGTAGCAGGTCAGTTTTCTAAAGTTTTATCCAATTTCTAACATTTTTTCATCAGAACTGCAATAATACTCTTGATAATAAGCGATTAAAGCAGAAGTTTGATGTCTAGCCAGTGTTTCACTGAGCCGCGGCACAAAAATACAATTAAATATGCTAAGTGTGAATGAAGGGTGACTTTCTCCCAACATTCCTGAAAATACTCTTTTCATATTTTCCAGATTTGACCTACATTTTATTCAGAGATGAGTTCTGTAACGACTCTGCTTCTATTTGGAGAGGAAAACCACTCTGCAACGTTTCTAAACTCCTGTAATGCAACAGCGAAGCCCTGAGAGTCATGCATGAAAATTTAGTCAAATTTTTTTCAAAGACGTCATTCTTGATTCATCTCCACCAGGTGCAGCCCAGCGAGACACTGGTTTCTGAACAGCTGCGGCTTGTTTGGGCCAGCACAGCGTAAAGTCTGACATAGGAGAACATTGGGTGAATAAAAACAATGTTTTAAAAACCAAATTTAAACCGAGTAATTTTGAATTTTGTTTCTTTGTGCTGACAGGTGTCTTAAGAGGTGTCAGGATTCAGATCTCATCACTTCTGATAGATGAAGACAACAATCTGACTTCTCTGAGCAGAAATACATGAAAAAAATAAAAAAATTGGTTTAAAAGTAAAAAAAAAGAATTAGAAAAGAAGACTAGATCCCCAAGAATAAACTAACTGATGCTAGCGAGGATTCATTTCACTCATCTTCCTATAAAAGGGTTAATTTGTGGTTCGCTCTACATCAGCCACTTCTCTATGCACGCGTGGAACACGGTCTCATTCGAGTGCCACAAGACGTGTTCGACTCCAGGAACTGTGCAGAGGATCAGATCCCCTCGAGCCACGAGCGTCTTCAGACCAAAAACATCTCTTAGATACAACTGAAGGGGAGAAAACGAAACAAAACACAAGTTAGCGCTCGGCTCCTCCGCTGCACGCCACGCCGAGGGGGAAAGCGTTGGGGTCTGATCGCTGCTCACCTCTTGGTGCTGCATCTCTACAACGGTCTCGTTGTCGTCGTAAAATCCAAACTGGCTGTAAAACACCAAGAAAACGGAGGAGTGAAGTGAGTTAGCGTCATGTGAGAGTCACTGGGTCAGACGGACAAAACAAGCAGTAAAAGATGTGAACGGGTGCAACAAAACATAATAAAAATAGTTCAAATCTAATCGAATCACCTCGACTGCCACGGAGTTATAACTCCATCGTCAGGTCCACCGATCAGCACCAGCTTCTGGATTTTGAGGAAGTTGCTCCTCCATTCTGCAGGCGAGAGTTTGGGGTAATTATACAAACAAAGGCCTGTAATCGGTAAACGTTCGTCATCTTTTGTCACATTTTGATGGAAATTAGCTTCCTGACCCGTCGAATTAGGGTTCGGTCGCTCGCTGTTGATCAAAGCCAAGTAATCGCTGCTGTTCAGGTACAGATCTCTGTGATGAGGGTCTGCGGACCAAGGAGGAGGAACATGACCCGTCATGAACACAAAACTCATGTGAAGCTTGATCTTTGCTGCCTCATCACTGAAATCTCACCGTTCCAGTAGTTGCAGATGGATATTAGTTGACCAACTCCGGTGTAACAGAAGTGGTAGAGGTTGGATTTCACAAACTGAGGGAAAATCCTAAAGTAGTCTGTGTCTAAGAGAAAAGAAATGTTGCTCAGTGATTGTGTGTTTCAGGGGGACGGTTATTCCTGACGGACCACATGCTGATGCTATTCAAGAAGATGGATTAAAAAAAATGTTCAAGAAATTCTGTTTCATGCATGGGCCTGTTCAATTCTTGTAAATGAAATTAAAAAAAAGTGTGTTTTGTTGTTTTATATTTAGACCCACCTCCGTACTGTCCAGCCTGCGGCGCTGACAGAGAGATGAAGGAGTGGACATTGTGGTCAGGCAGTGTGGAGAGGATCCCTCTGCAAACCAGCCCACCTGTAATTACATGGAACCAAAATTCAAGTTATAGCAGATTGTTTTTTAAACTTTAACCTAGAGCTTGAACATCGATCTCAGTGATTGTTGGTTTAGAAACTTGACCCGTTTCACATCTGACACCACTCTGCAGCCCTCTGCTGACCAAAAACCAAACTAGATAGTTTAGTAGAGCAAGTAGTGGGCCATTCCCATCTGTACCGGGTCGACCCGGGCCGGGTAGCGTAGGTTGTACATATCTGGGTGGCCTGGTATTTTTCCGGGCCAACCAAGGCTCATTCTCAGCCCTCTTCTCGAGGGGGTCTGCTTCAGGCTGACCAGGGCCAACACACCCACTGCTGACAGCAAATTCACACCTTCCATTAGAGCAAGCCTCTGATTGGTGGGTAGAATCAGCCCACATGGGCTTAAGGCAAGGATGTGTGGAATCAACCGGGCCAGGCTGGGGCCGACTGGGGCTACCCGGCCCGGGCTGACCCGGTACAGATGGGAATGGCCCATTAATGTCCAGGGGGGCGCTCTTTACCTGCTTTACAGCTGTTGAGCTAGCAGTTAGCATTTTCAGTTCACCGATCCATAAAAAGCACAAGAAGAAGTTAGGGTTTGGGTTTTTTTCTGTTGGAGTCATGGTGGAAGTTGGAAGTAAAAGTCAGAGAGTAATAGGGAGCCTAAGTCACGCCCATCTACTTCCGGACCACGGGTCCCCGGAAGATCGAAAAAAGGAATGAAAGTCAAAGGGGCTAAAAACGCTATTTTCCAATTCCACTTGTTATGTTCCATGGATTTCACATACGGTGTCCGTGAATTTTAATGAGGCTTTTTGATACCAAGCTTCTTTTTGAACGAGGGGAAACGCTATTTTAGGTTTTGTGTGAAAATAAGTCCAGGACGTCATCGAACCAGACACGGAGAAAAACAGAGGGCAAAATGGCTGCAAGTTCAGCAAACTTCAAATCCTTCCTTAAGGAGGAAAGGACCATCATAAATCTGGCCACGTGGTAAGTAGCAGCTACGCTAGGGGAGAGGAGATTATGTGGTGACGTCACATATGCGACGTGCTGAGGTCTGGTTTGTAGTCACACTAATTACAAACTTTAACAACTTGATAAATCTTAAGATACGTGACTGGCGTGGTCGAAACACTCATCATTAGTTTTCATTTAAATTGCAGTACAACGTAAGTGCGATCCAGGGTCTAAGGCAAAGTGGGTTAGAAAATAGCTCTTTTAGCCCCGTTGACATCACGGACTGATGGGGACCTGGCTTTGTTGCTACTGGACTTATATATTACTAAGTAATAATGTTTTTGTCCAACAGTGTGGATCTTTTTACGTTGTGGACGAGTCTGGCAGGCCAAACAGGAAGTTGTGAAAAACTGCTGTGATCAATTGAATTGAATCCATGAAATCCCAACAGAATCATCAATCAAAAGTATTGATTGGGAAATCAGTATTTGTGCAGAAATCAATTGAACAAACAGTTTCAGGGAAAAAATATTACTTTCACAAGTAAAAAGAACAATAATCATAAGTGTAAACAGTTTAAACAAAAACAGGCGGAGAATACTTGTATTTTGAATTGCAAATTGATATTTAAACAACACATTAACACACATCCTTTCATACAAACACATTTAAATGTCTGTAAACAGCTGATCTAAAGCCACATATCATGAGTACATTCGGTCTGAAGCAAACACCACATTTATCTGAGTTCTGTGAATCACAGGAATGCTTTCACTGGCCTTGAGAATAACAGATAAGGTGAACTCCATCCGCTGCGTTTTGCATTATGGGATAGATAGCTGCCTTGAATCCCTCCACCTGTTTCCACATAGGCTGCAGGCTGGAGCTTCGGTCAAACAGGTCGATGACCGTCACGTTTGTCCCCGGATAAGACTGCAGGAGAGACAAGGTGGTTGGATGTTAGTAACAAAACTCAAGATCCTCCATCTTCTAACTGACAAAGGTGGACTTTAAAGGACAGATCTGTATATTAATCATTTATTAGACATGTTAACCATTTATTAGACAGGAGGAGTTGTATGGATTGTTTCTACATGTATGAAGAACTCGGGTAGAAAAGCAGGACTGGGAACATTTCTTTTACATCACACCACCTAAATATGTATTACTAACACTACGTGCATCTAACGACAAGAAATGCATTAGAAAAGTTTTAAGAAATGTTCTATTTTCCAAGTTAAATGATAATATGATGGCCAGAGCAAATAATGTATTAAGCCTAGATTAGACATTTATATCTATATAATCACACTTAAAAATTATGAATCTATGTTAAATTTTTTAAAGGATCAAGTTTTTTTTACTGTCTTTTACTTTAAAATAACATTATTGTTTAATGTTTTGGGGGCTAAGCTCGTGAAATAAACTCTTTAATTAATTAAAATTAATTTTTGCTCAGTAATCTACTAGAAATTTACTAGCCACCTTTTCCTCCACTCACCTCGTTGATGAACCGCTGTAAGTTTTTAAAATCCTCCGAGCTGTCGAACAAACCGTGAACCACAATCACCGGCTTGTATCCGACCACCGCAGACCAGAGACACGCACCGAGGAGCGGGCACAGCAGCGCGGCCGCCCCGCTGCTTCTACTCCTCTCCGTGGCAAAACGCGATCCCTTCATTGCAACTCAAACTACGTGAAAACACAAATTTAAACCTTTATAAATACAACGCACACCTGTTGGGACAAAGTAAACAATAAAATATGGATGTTTAGCTAATGCTAAACTTCTTTTGCGCCTCCAGCTGCGGTTGGGATAAACAAATCACCAGCGACCGGTTCACAATCCGTACTTAAACAAACACGGTATGTTTACAGCTAAAAATACATCTGATAAAACACTTTACAGCCACTGCGCTCTGTTCTTATTTGTTCCGGTTTTAAATTAAAGGTGAAACGGCCGCTACGAACGTCACTTCCGCGCCCCGATTGTCCAATCAGCATGGAGCTCTAAGCCGACTCCTCCTTTCCCGTGTCGCGTGCGCGTGGCCGTAAACTGTAAACAGGTTTCTCACATCCTTAAAAAAAAAAAAAAAAAAAGGTTTCTCACATCCATCTGAACCATTTTAATCACACAAATGACGAAATAGTATCTTGTTTAAAATATAAAACCGACAAAAATCGAACAAAGTGAGTTAATATGATCGAAGGCTTTATTATAACCAGTCCTGCAGGTTGAATGAAAAATTGATGGAAAGGACCATTAGGACCACGTGATCAGCTGTTTTGCGCTCACAAAAAAAACAAAAAACTTTTCTCCTGCTTTCATTAATACAAACCAACTTCATCTCCATTGGTCCTCCTGAAACTCTCATTAACTTAGAAAAACAATCAAAATTTATTATGAAACAATGCTGGCATCATTATAAAACGTGGAACATTTATTACTGGTGGAAGGTACCAGAAGTTAGCAGAAAGGAGTGCAGTCGTCTCACGCTCAGGTTAGTCCCTGTTGATGCTGGAGTGTCAAGTTAACCTTGTTTTTCTTGTGATTCCCCAACAGTCATTAAGTAACTCCATGATACAGAAAGGAAAACTGCTGAAGGAAAAGCTTTAAAAAATATCAAAAGCACCTCAGGGTCACAGAGTTCAGGCTCTTTTAGAATCAAAGACTAATGAAGCATGCAAACGTTACATGAGCCGTAGAAAACATTTTAAGGAAGGTATTTTTTTTCCCCCATTATAGAGTGGTTGGATGGCATCGTAGCCTACACGGTAGGCTGCAGCAGCTCCTGTAGGTCACACAAGGTGTTCTTCAGAGTACGAGCTAAAGTCTCTGCGTTCGTCTCCTCGCAGCAGTTGAAAGCCGTGACGGAGAAGTGGAAGTGGTCCGCCTGGGGGTTGTAACAAACGGCATAGCCGTCGGGAACCAGGGGCCCGAAACACATCACGCTGTCTGTGTTTGTAGGCACCTGAAGAGACAAAAAAGCTAATATTAATCTGTGCACAACCAGAGAGAATGTTAAGATTTCACTGTCTGATATTGGTAATGGTCTATTTTTGATTTTAAAAAATTAAATCTGGTATCAAGGAACTAAGTCCCCCCCTCTTTAAAGCACCTCCTTTACTCAGATTTTACCATCTGAGCACACACACCTGTCCCGTCCGCAGCTTCCAGTGTGTTGCCAGGCCATAAGCTGTATCCATGAAGATTTTGGGAATGCTCAGTCCCTCCTCAATAGCCTGCAGCTTGAGTCCCAGCAGGTGGTGGTCAATACCGTGTCCTTTTAATGCCTAAAAAAGATAAAACCTAAGTGTTTAAAAGTACGATAAAAATAGGTGAAATAGCTGCTTGTTGGACGTCTGATTAACCTGATCAGTGAGGTCTGAGTAGGCATCCACAGCTTCTCTGAATAGCTGCAGCTTCGCTTCCCTCTGAAACCCAAAATAAAACACTTAAGGCTTCATAGGGACTCGCATCTGGATGGTCTGAACAAAACGTGTCTTACCGATTCGGACCGATCATCAAAGGCCAGAATGAATTTCAGCGCCTGGTTCGTCGGGGAGCGGATGTACTCGGTCCTTCCTCCTTGAAACATCCTCTGAGAGGCAATATCGCAGGCTGGGCAGACCTCATTATGAACTCTGCAGGGGGAAAAAACAGCTAAACACCTCTTGTTGTTGATTTCAGGCACAAACACAAGAAACACAAACAAAAAAAAGGAACCAGAAGTTGTAAAATGTTCCAGAGGTGGCTCATTTGGCCTTGAAGGAAAGCCTCTGCTGTCCCGACACCGACCTGTAGTAGGCAAGCTGCAGCGCCACCTGGATGAACGAGTTTGGACTCAGGTTGTGCTTCTTGGGAAGTTCTTTGCCAAACCTTTTGAAGTTGAACACGTTGACGTCGAGGTCATTGATTAGTCTGGAAAAAAAAGTTTAGTTTTAATTAATATTTGACATATTTATCCACATTAAACATCAACTTTAATGGAAAGATTGGTTATTTCAAGATAAAGTAACAGGAAAGTCCATATTCAAACCTAAAAGGACTCGAATGCCTCCTTTTGATGCCTAAACAGAGACTTAAATACTTACTTCATTATAATTTGATGCTTTTAAAAGGAGGATTTTATAGAAATTCCTAAAATCTATACAACTGTATTGTTGCATTAAAGTAATACTTATTAATTTCTTGTAAAAATACCAAAAAATAAAAACAAATCTGATGTTTTTTAATTCACAGCATGAAAGAAAAACTTTGATTTCTTTGGTCAAAAATATTGCGAACAGCAGGAGGACTGAGTTGAGGTTAAAAACGGACCGAGCTTGTGGACGACAGATTTGTTTACATAGCTGCGGTTTCACTTCAGAACCGTTTCCTCCCACATCTGGTAAAAGTTCTTACATGTCCAGGTTCTGCTTGGCCTGCTCGATGTCCCGCTTAATGTCCAGGTCGATGTGGAAGTAGAGCTTCTTGGGCATCGGCAGCGGAACCAGCGGAGCTTTTTTTGGGTCGGGCTTCTCACTGAGGATAGTCAGAACAGAAACTCAGACCCAAATCTGATAAAACGTGCTTACTGAACAACAGCACCCCCTACAGGCTCCGATGTGGAAAAACAACTTCAAGCTCATGGATGAATATATGTTGTTACTAATAACTCTGTTATAACTAGCTTGATGGGGCGGCCATCAGCTGAAAAAATAATAAAAAAATAAAAATCTGATAATTTTTTTTGCTGCCTGTTAATGGTGCATTTGTGGACCAAAAATAATCAGATTTTTGAGTTTCAGATTGCTATGGATGAAGGACTTAAGTCTAAACCTTAAACTTTTCCACAAAACTGATCAATTTTCAGTCATTTTAAACTGAATTAAGCGTATTTTATCTCATTTCTGATTCACTTTGACTGTTGCTTACACAACATCAGCTCATGCACCATTTGATCTCACCAGTACTCCAGGATGTGATGCAGGAGGTTCGTTATGGGCGGACCCTCGGCTGTGGCCTGTTCATACAGCAGACCCCACGATCCGTCCTCACCCACCACAAACTGTTCAAACAGAAGAGTCGGCGTTAACACCCCGCCTGGTCTCTACACTCACACCTTCCAGCGGGATCTCGCCCACCTGCAACGTTTTGTCAAACCAGCGGTTTCCGCTGTTGGAGAAGGTCCCGCCTCCGTGCAGCACCTGCGCCGCCTTACGGCTGGCGTACCTGTCAATCAAAACAAAACAAATCACACACACACACACAATAAAAGTGACACGTGCCAATCTAAATGTTCCCAAACACGATTACTTAAGATTTCTGACGCAAAACTTTTTAGATACAACAGCAGCAGTTCAAATACAGGAAGAGACCATTGCTCACTGCTGCTAGATGTCAATAAGCAACACAATGCTATCTAGAGAGGATTACACAACGGTCTCCGCAAACACAGAAATACCAGAGCGTGTGTGTGTGTGTGTGCGCGCACACATACTTCTCATCTGATATCCTTAAAACCGGAGAATCCAAACACAAGGAGAAAAGTCCCGTTTCTATCATCCGTACCGACTCCTGGTTGAGTTTGTCTAAAGAAGAAAAGGAAGACAGAAACTTGATGAGGTAGAAAACTCACGACGTGTGTGTCCACAGTAACTCGGGGTTGTTGTGTTATTTATGTTTTGAGTCTGCAGCCTCCAGCTGTTAAATCACACAAGGAAAATTCTCCCAGATCAAGATGTTTGGAATCATTTTATGGGATTTTCCATCATTCAGATTTACAACAACAAACACTGCAGCCGCCCATCGCATCGAAAAGACCCAAACACACGGAGTTACGCTTACTGTGGTCAGATTTTAAAAGCAGCGTTTAGAGGCTGCGTCCTCCATGTACCCGGACTCATTGTGGCTTTTTGTTCAAGTCATAAAGGCGAATGAATCGGGAGACATTCACAGTTTTAGATCTGGCGACAGAAACTTCCAAGGCTAAAAGCGGCGGTGTTGTTCTGCTTTGGTCATTTGACCTTTTTTTGGTTAATTTTTGTCAAAAATCATAAGAAAAACGATGGCTGAAGGAAAGAGCATCCAAATGCAAAGCCGTTCACTTTGTTCAACGAAGGATCTGACCTACGAGAACCGGCTAGGCCGGGTCCTCAGACAGAAGCAGCCCCGGAATCTGGTCACCTCCAAAGAGCTAGCTAGCGGTGTTTAGCTACAGCGTCCACCTGGAATTTAGTTAGTGTGTGTGTGTGTGTTCAAACCTCTCAGCAGGCGGTTATACGCCTCCCCCCAGGTGTGGCGGTGCTCACTGGTCAGGATTCCCATCGGCTCCTTGTCGGTCTTCCAGGACTGAGAACGGATTCTCAGCAGTTGTCCGCGGATCTGACTCTCCGTCATTCGCGAGCCGTCGCTGTTGTAAACCTCCAACTGGAAGAACTACGAGCAGCAGGATTAGATCCAAACGTCCAAGTGAGTCATCTGCCATGTTTAGAGCTTTAACCAGTAAGCCGTTGCCATGGTTACATGGTCAGTAACATATTTATGAAACGTCAGAACCAGGCGGCAGAAACAAGAACCTCTTTTTTATTTGACTAACCCAGGAGCCTTCCAGATGACTGTAAAGTTAGCCAGTTTGGCATCTCTGAACCAACGTGGGCCTTCTTATCTTTAAAGCAAAGCTCTTTCAGGCCCTAAAACGCCTGAGGAGAATAAATTCACGCTGGAACAGAAGCACCGTTTTCGGTCTGGGTCACATTTCATTTCCTCTAATCTCACCAAGGAAGGCAGGTGGCTCTGCAGGCCACAAACCACATAAACAAAAAACAACCGACCCGACGATCAAAGAGGCACACCTGGTAGTTCCGGACCACTGTGATGTGTGTGGGCGAGCGGCGGGCGTTGCCATGGTGAGCGACGTAGTCGTGTTTGGGTCCAGGGATCCTGCAGGAGGAGAAGAGGAGCGGGTAGAGCTCCATGCACAGAGGTTTCCCTCGCATGTACTCGACTGGAAGCTGCCCGCTGAGACACACGGAGAAAAAAAACAACACGTATCTGTGAATATTGACATTTATTTGATACAAACGTAAGAAAAGACAAAAAAAAAAAAGAAGGTTTAGGATCAGTTAAATCAGCCTGCAGAGAGGATTCCTCTGCTGTTGGAACAGAAACAGCCTGTTTACGTGACATTCTCTACCGGTAGTGAGCTGCAGGTACTGTTACAGTCAGTGAGAGTAAATTTAGACTCGGATTAGCCAGAAACACACGCCAACACCACACGGGTGTAACTTAAGAACACAAACACATACCGCAGCAGTTCAGGGGGGCAAATGCGTACATTTGTTATTTGTTTATTTATACATTTGTTTATCTATAACTCACGTGTGCATTTTGGCCTTGAAGTCCAGAACGGCTGCGATCAGTTTGGATGCAAACCTGGAAAGAAACAAGAACTTTGCTGCTGTTAGTTATTAATATGTTACGCACGACTGATCGTGCTAAAATAACTCGATTTCCTGTCAATCATCCAGACTTTTACTCAAACCGGAGAATTCAAAAACAGTTTCAACAGTAACCTGTGGGGCTAGAGCCATTGACGCCTGTGTTTACTTCATGATTGGGTTTTATCAGTCATGTCCTTGACTGATAAGTGACGCCCTCTTTTATCGAAGTTTTGTCCAGAAGAAAACAAACGTCTTTACCACCAGCAGCTCTTTCAACACAGGCGATAAAGGCTTTGGTTCTCTGAAGGTCTCCTTCACCGAGAAACCGTGAAATTCTTGCTCTTTATGAAACACCATTAGTCATTCTGACTTCACGTGCACGGTAAATGTAAAAACTTCTACGACCCACATTTCCTGCATCAGCTGCAGAAAGAGGAAACGACTGAGTCAGGGAAAGCTAGTCGCTTCTATGTCACAGGGAAAATTTGCATTCATGGCCCCACCCATCTTGGCTTGTGACCCCACGTCTTGGCGAGCAAAAGCTAATCTTTAGCATTAGCAACTCCACAAGCTGGCAGAACATGTTCAGGCTTGTGTTATATGTGGTGATGAAACATCAATGAAAGAGCAAACGAAGGCAGTGGATGAGTTGTGTTGCTGTTAACCAATCAGAGGTGAAATGTTTGCATATCATGAATATTAATGAGCGAGACTCATAAACCTGCCGTTTCTACATGAGCGCTAGAGCTTTCCCCCACAGAAAACAATTCATAAGGCCTTAATTCAGACTGGAAATTACCGCAGATTAATTGAAAAATAAATAAATAAAAACAACCAAGATGATCAGAAATTTTCTTGAAAATTGTAAATAAAACCCCAAACTATCCTATGGATATTTATTTATGCAATGATCACACAGTTGTTTTCAAATGCAAACAACCCTGTAAAGATTTGTTGTCGTTGGGTGTCGGTATGCATGGACTCACACCAATTGACTCCTCCAGTCATTAAAATCTCTCCTGGGAAGAGAGATGGCTGGGTTTGAGTGCACCGCAAGAGGCTGTCTGCTTTCTAAATACGCCCACTGGACCCACCAGTCTGAGATCTGAAAAACAAAAAACGTCTCTGAGACTCAAAATCAGAACAAGACTGACAGTTTAATATGTTATTTTTAAACATTTGTTTTAATTAAATACAATTTCACAAAAGCGTAGCGTCAGTTTGATTTTGTACATCTCCAACCTTTTGATATTAATCTATCTGAAAAATCATGAATTAGCAGACAAATGTTGCCCTCAACTTCCAGAAAGATTGAAACTTCTCATTCTGGAAGCGAAAACTTTCACGTGAAAGATCTGTTAGTGCTTGAATTATTGCATGATGGGTTCAAGGATTGGAAAAATGTCAGATTTTCAAAGCTTAATCGCAATGAGGCATTCAAGGACTACAACAGAAAATTACAAATGTTGACTTTCAGATGACCCGATCACAGATCTTACAGTGAATCCTCGCCATTTATGATTTTCTTTTCATTAAGATAGAGTAGAAGGAGCCACCGCTCGTCTGAGAAAGGTGCTGGATCAAAAAGTGGAATAAACAAAATAAGAATCCGCACACTTTAATCTGCGACGTAGTTTTTTTGGTCAAGCTTTCGGTCAGAGACCTTCATCGGGAATTCCTGATGAAGGTCTCTGACCGAAAGCTTGACCAATAAACTCCTACATCGCAGATTAAAGTGTGCGGATTCTTTTCATTAAGATAAAATAAACACCAAATATATTCAATTACGCAACAATCCACTGATTATTCTGAATTTATTTTAATTTACATCAATAAAACAGATCATCTTCCCCTTTATTTAAACGGGTTAACGTCTTTGCTTTTCTTTGAAAAAACTTAAATTAATAAGAATGACAATGAATCTTTATTAGGACTATTTATATTTAAATCTATTAAAGTGTGTGGTTCTACAAGAGTTTGGGTTAATCCTCCTGTAACATCCATCTTTCACACTGACAGTAAAAAAAACAACAAACACACCCAGTTCTTGGTGCGTCTGGCTCTTTTCTCCAGCCCCTCCTGCAGATGCGGTCCCAGCCCACCAGGCCTCCCGAACTCCTGCACCATCCTGCGGGTGTGGCTGAGCTCCTCCGGCGGTAGCAGCGGCTCCAGGGCCTTCAGGTAGCCCTGCAGGGTCTGTGTCAGCGGGGGCACCGGCTGGGGGGGCACGGAGGAGAAGAAACACGGCTCCTGCCTCAAGGAAACCTGCATTCAGACCAGAAACGATGAGTTTTCTGTAGATTAAAGTAAAATATGTTTAGTTTGTGGGATTTGAAGACTTCTCAAATCGAGTTAATCGTGTGTAAAAGTTAGAGGAACTTTGCAGAGACTTCCTCGCAGTTTGACCGAAGGCGGGGCGCGTCCGCACAGGGTGTTTCACAAGGAAATGTAAAGATACGATCCTGGAAACAACTTCCGCTGCTCCCCTTGATGTCAGACGCACATAGGCTTTGATAGCAGAGGTCAAAGGTCAACAATATATGTCTCAAGTTGGAAGAACGTCAACAAGATTTTAACAAAAGACTTACCCGGGACAGCCATGCTCTGCAGGTTCTCGACTGAATATTCCAGAAAATCATGTTTCCTCTACTCAAAAACCCGCTCTGCGTCGCATGTGCGTTTTTAAAAAAAGGTCACCTTTGACTTAATTTCCGCAAAAGCTTTAGCACAGCGTCAAATCGCCAAAATGAAGCCCTGACCTCCTCCTACTTCTCCACGATGGAGGCACGCGACAGCCCTCATCGCTCGACACGCACTAGTTTAAAATGTAGTTAGGTGAAGGAAAAACTAGCAAGAGAACAACACAGCTCGCCTTTGACTTTCGTCCCTTCGAGCTGCTGCGAGCATGCACAGCCTCACGTACAGCGTAGAAGACCGTAGAAGAAGAGGAAAACAGTGTGCTGGCCACGTGCTGACGTCAAATGTTTCCGTAAACAGCTGCAGTGCTGCGTCTGTCCGCTGGGAGTCGCTGTTACGCACCCTGAATGGAGCACGTTCTCATCGTAAACATTGATTTTGTAAAATAAAACAGGCAGCTGGTGTTCATAAACACTAAAAGGACATGAGTTTTAATATAAATCTATATGTGAATAATTTATATTTTTTATCAAATAATAATATAAATCACTATCTGAATAATTTATCTTTTTTTTTTTTACCAAATAATAAAATTAAACATCGTTTTAATCTACTTTCAATACATTTCGTTAAGCAGGGAGGTTCTAGAGTACCTGTAATCCCAATATAATAACAGCAATTCAGTTTCAGCTGCTTTACAACAGCTCTTCAATGAATTTCACTATTTCATAAAAAGATGCATTAGCATCTTCATTGTCTCTCATTAACAACATGATAGTATTTGTCTCAGCATCTATTTTAGACTTCACATAAATGTATTAACATGCTTTGGTTCCACATCTACATTAGGCTACTTAATCACAAAAATATCAGTACTAAATTTATTTTTTGACTCTGCAGGGAGGCCGCAGGGAGTCAAGCTTTCTGTCATGGTGGCTTAGCCTCTGGCATAGTAAATACTCTACTCTAGTTTTATTTGACTGTAACATTTTCTTCTTTTTTATTCCAGCAGAACTTCGCTTTAAAATTCAAACGGTTTCATTTACAGAGTGACAGCAAATTTCTGCATGATCTCTTACAATTAAATTCAGATTTCTATTTCTTCTGTTTTATCTTGCATTAGCAGCTGTCCAAGCAAATTAATGTTAAAATGGTGGAATATTTCATAAACATAATATTTTCCATATATTTAAATTTTTTTATGTAGTCAAGAAAATTGTTGTAGATTTTCATAACAAACTCAACTCATGCCCCCTTAATAAAGATAAAATATTTATCTATTTAAGTTATTTTTATGATTTTAGGCTCAGCTGTAATCTTTTCAGATCTCTAATCGTCTCCTCAAATCTCTTGTAAATGTTTGCTTCTGTTATTTCTTGTAAATTCATCCCGATAAAATACTTAATGGCTCGTGTGACGATAGATTGAAGTTCTATTAAACAGTGTGGTCTAATTTTAAAAATAAATCAGGGTAAAGTGTTTTTTCCTCAAGACAACAAAGGCAGAGAATAATATGTTTCTAAGAATTAAAGAAAACAGGAACTTTAGATTTTCAGAAACTTTTATTCACTTTTTTTCATTTGAAGCCAGCTTCTTCATCCATCATAGCAAAAAGTTAAATGCAAACATTTTGCATTTTCTTTTACCAATTAAAAACTTTACGAAATACCATACTATCTAAACGTGTCACAGCTAAAAATTGCACACCAGCCTTGATGTGCTGAAGTGCATCAATGATTCTTTATGTAATAAAAATCCTCCTGATCTGCTCTCCACTTGATACATGATAAGATATCAAATGAAAACCTTTAATTTGGTCCATGACCCAAAATAAAAATAACCTACATCACATCACGTGCTGCACCAAAACCAGCAGCATCCATCTGAAAGGTCTCTGATTAAATAACTGATCTTTATGCCATCTGCATGGGCTAATCCTGCAGGCACATAAATCCAGATGACATAAAAACCACTCTTTCAGGTCTTCTCTCTGTGCTGAGGCTTGAACTGGAAAAATAGGAACATAGAAGAAAATTTCACATATATTAAATGAAAAATAAAATCTTTCCCCTTTCTTTATGGAGCACTGACAGTCGCTGCTCATCATTGCACACCTGAGGACATCAAATCGTCCTACATTCACAGCTGTCCCTCAGTTTGAACATAAAAACAAGTTTCCCTTTAATAAAGCTAATTTAACTCTTGAACCCACATTTAATAAAAAGACACAAATCAAAACACAAAAAGAATCATAATGTTTCTCAAAAATATATAGATGATCTCATCACATGGGCAATTTTGCTGAGGGTGACTGGCTTCTACCAAGGGCAAGACTCATCTGGAAGACAGAGACGGAGATGGAAGGTACGTAAATATGGTTTCATTTATTTAGGATGGATCTCCACATTGAACAGTCACAGACTGAACCCACTGAGTTAATTTTTAATTTTCTCCTTTTTATTTTATTGAGCTTGCCCATAAAGATTTGTCACCTTTAAGATGTGATGACTTGATTTACTTTTATGAACAAACCACATGAAAGGACAAAACATGTTAAATATATAATTGTCAGTGAGCTGTCATATAACCATAAAGTGGCCTAATGAGGTTTGTTTTTTACTTTTTGAGCTCAGGGAACCCAAAATTATTATTACTAGTGGCAGCTTGTCCATAGGGGGTGCTAGAGGCCACCCTGCCTGATGTGAAGGCAGAAAAACACACAAAAATTTTAAATTAAATTATAATATAAATACATATATTGTGTCAGTTTGCCTTAAGCATTTGTGCCTATGTGCAATGTGAATTATTTACACATCATTTTCACCAGCTGTCTCTTATTAAACAGTAAATTTCCTCCAACATATACACAAATATCACTCCTGGAGCACTGGAAAAAACGCCCCTGAACTGCAGGTAGACAGCCAATCATGTTTGGTTTCTAGGGAGAACTGGATCATTTTTGACCAATCAGCATCACTGAATTTGTCTCTGGAGCACCACAGACATTTTAATACTAGACACTCCATGAACTAGCTCTGCCTATTGGAGCTGGCGTAGCAGCAGGCTGCCATCTTGGATGGGTTTCCATTTGCCCCCAGTCCATTTATTTCTACTGAGAGAGGTGTTTACTCAACTAAAAAACACATTTTTAAATACTTTTCACAAACTCAGACATATAGTGTTGAATGATAGTTAAAATATAAATATATTAAATAAAAATAAAATATAAAATCCCAACAGGACAAAATTCAATAGTGATCTCACATGATCTGTTTTCAATAGTGCATCAGTTGAAACCGAAGGCTGCACAAAAAATGGGCACAACTGTTCACTCTGGGCTGATTCCAGTGGGGTTTGGAGAGTGAGGAACCCAACCATTATGGCAGCGATGCCGTTACGCTCTCCACCGCCCAATGGGGCATCATAGACATAGAATTGTTTTGTTTTGTTATTTCCCTCTGGGATTAATAAAGTATCTTTGAATTGAATTTATGTCTATGGCCAGCACCCGTGCTACAGGAAACAGCTAGCTAGCATGCTAGAAGGTGCTGGATTTGCTCTCCTTTCTCTCTCTCTCTCTAACTCCCTAATTTACACACATTCACTGTTGAATCATACAGAGATGAAACCATACCTGTATTTGTTGCAGTAATTTTTTTTATTTGTTCTCATTTGATAATATTATAGTGTTTTATACAGGCTTTCTAATTTAAAGAGCAAGTCACCCCCAAATCTACTTATTTTTTTGCCTAAAACTGTCTGTGTTGCACCCTCTTCAGGTAAAAACTCTGGACATCTGCCATCACTATTGGCTAAGAGGTACACTAAGACGTTAGCTGGTACCATATGATGTCACAATTCCCCTGTGAACCTTTATGTGTGTGTATTTGTTAGTGGCTCCGCCTCCTCGGCCTGCCAGTCAGCGCCTCCTTGTGGTGCATTTTTCAAACAGCAAATGGGAGTGGAGTAAGACTCTGGTAGGGGGTGATTTGCTCTTTAACTAAATTTCCATGCTGTGTTAGTGCCACCTACTGATAGAAATCGGTATTGCATGTTGAGGTGTACACTTTTGGCAGATGATGAATTAAGACCGAAAACTTGAGCTGGAAAACAAACCAAGTCAAAATAAAACGTTGATAAGTTAAAAAAACAGCTTTTCACCAGCCACTACCGAATGCTACGATGCAAACATCTTCAGCTACAAGTGATGAAACACCCACACACAGCAGACCTCAACATCTAACTGAGATCTCCTTTTATTTGAAAATTGTAATGCAGTTATTTCAGGGGGAAAAACAACCAGTAAATTTGCTGATAAGCAACATTATTCCAATAGTAATAAAGGTGTTGGATCCATCTTTAGGAGAGGTTTATGGCACCAGCAACAAATAATGGTTTTTCCAAACTTTAACCATTGTAACCTTTATTTAGAGTAAGATTTAAACACTTAGTCTGGACTAATATTCAAACATTCTTCTGCTAAATAAATAAATGTGAGAAAGTTTGTCAGGAAAGCACAAACATCACTGAAGACATCCCTACTACACGCTGTGTTTTCTGAGAAGAGGGTGACACTGACCCACTCTTATTCGTGGTCCCGTTGCAATCCCCACGCTCTTCATGGTCTTGAACACAACTTCGCCTTCCTCACCTTCGCCTTCATCCTCCTGTGCCTCCTCACCTTGTTGCCTCTCATTACTCTCCAGGTCAGGAGGTAGGGGGCTCAACATCAGCATGAAGGTCTCTGACGGGTACTCGCATACCTGCTCCAGCTGCTCCTCATCAAAACACACCTTCCCCTGCAAATTTTAGATAAAATAATTAAATGTGTGCAGTTGTGGGACACTCTTCACACTTCGTGCGCTTGTTGTGATGAACAAGTCGAGGCGGAAGTGAAAACTGAAGTTCTGGTTTTCCTAAAAAGGTCAAATATGGCCGTGTGGAGGCTGTTCATTCAGTGGTCAGCATGGTATAAACAGCAGAGGCCAGATGAAGCTGCTTTAACCTGAACCGTGGATATCTCCAGAGAAAAGGTGCACTCAGAAGGGGTAATCCTCTCTACCTCACCCCGATTAACCCAGGCTCACACTTCAGGACAGCAGGGGCACCGGGTAAAACAGAGACACCAGCAAAGACGAACTCAATACGTTTAGCTGCACAATTCTTTGTGCAGCTAATTTAGGGAGCATTTCACGCATAAATGTCCAATAAATAATCAGATTAAAGCACAAATTAAGCAGAAGCGGAAGAGCCAGAAGCAGTTCTCCTCCCCTACTGTGATCTGATGGTTTAGAGGGGGAGGGGAAGGAAGTCTGACGTCAAGCCGTCTGAGGAGCATCAACGTGAGAGCAACAGGTGGTCAGAAAATCACTTCACGGTCATTGCCTCCCGCAGCTAAAGACGACCGTCATCAGAGTCGGAATGACATGTTCATGGAAAGTCATTTAAAAATAGGTTTAACAGAATAACTGAGAGTCTTTGAGAACCAGAGTTCGGGGACTCAAAAAGTGGACAGCGCATCCCTTCCTCTTGTCAATCACTTTCCTTATTTAGAGGAAGACCAGAAAGGCAAAAGAGGAAGTGAGCAAAAACATGCAGGGAGGTTCTGTGAGCCTTTAATCATCGCAGAATAACTGTCAACAAAACAGACCGTTCCTCATTACTGTTCTGTAATGATCTGTAATGTAACACTGTTGGTGTGAGTCAGCGGCACCGTGGAAGGTCAGCGTGCTCAGACCCACTCTGCCGAAGCTGCGGTGGAACTATCCAAACCACCGCTCGACGAGAGCCAGGGCCACACAAAGAACGATTTGTCTGAAGGGCGGCAAGAGCTGACTCAGCTCTGATGCGAAGATTGGTGAAAGGAAACGAGGAAGCAGTCTTCGGTGGATCCTCATTAGGGGAGAATTTCAAAAGTTTAACATCTCTAAAACGCCAAAAACAGCAATGGGACTCATCCAGAGGGCAGCAAAAGTCCAAAAAGGAGTAAGATGCGTCTTCACAGGATGTATAAAAAAACTCTGAATCTCATTTTTGGAGCAACTTTATCCTTCCATCGGTTACACAGCTTATCTAAATATAAAAGAAAGAGAAACAAAACTTGGAGCATGAACTTTGAGATTCACCAGAGTCGTTTGAGGCTGATCAGGCTGAATTACTGTAAACAAGAGTGTGAATGTATGTTTTCACACATACGTACGTTTGGTGTAAGGCAGGCAGAAGCAAGGCACAAAAACGCAGACAAGGAAGGAGTTGGCTGTGTAATTTTGTGCGTTCCTTCATAGCTTCTCTCTCTCTCTCTCTCTGACGATGGCCTAGACGCCACCATCGCCTGTCTGTCTTGAAATGCTTCAAACCCGTCAGACCACATGTTATGAGTTTTAATTAGAAGACCAAATGTCTCCGGAGATTTAGAGCACAGGAGCAAAGGGTAGAAGAGATCTCTCCGGGGACTTGATGGCTAAGAATCAAGATGTCGTGCTTGATAAGGCTTTAACCGGCTTAGCTCCTCTGTGATTGTAGGCAATCAACAGGGATGTTCTCCCAGTGAAAGGGGATTCTGCAAGGTGGCAAAATGGGTAAAAATATCACAGAAAGACAAAATTTTTGCACCAATTCAGTAAAACTTTTAATTCCAACCCCAACATCGATAACTTTTAGATGGACTAAAAGCAGTTATTCTTGTAATTTCATGAATAAAAGACTAACGCAACTCACGTTTTTGGGTGTTCCTCTATTCTTGACCAGACAGGACTTCTCCAGGTGTTGATATCCACCGATCACCTTGATTTCCTCCACCGCTGGGTATTTCTTCTTCACTGGTTCGTCCACAGCGGGGGTCGTTGGTTGAGATGAACCCTTAGTGGACTCTGCTGCTGTCGGCCGAGGCTTGGAGTCCGTCACCCTTCCTGCGACAGGCCTCCTCGGGGTAATTGTGACAGTGGCGCCTCTCTTGACCATACCCCCAGAAGCACTCTTGATGGTGAAGAGCTTCGGCGATGGGGTGGGTGATGGGGAGGCGCTGGGGGAGTTGGAAGGTGAGGACGAACTGGGGGAGGAGGCTGGAGTTGGAGCACAGTTTGCAGGTTTCAGAGAGTTTTCTGGAGATTGGGTCCTCTGAAATGGGGGGTTGACGGTTTGCTTGAGCTGAGATGTTGGAGAACAGTTTCGGCGGGGGGACTCTTTGAGGTTCAGTTCTGGTGTTTCTTCATCGTCCTTTATGTGGTGTTTTAACACGCCTTTGGGGCTTTGCTGCCCTTTGGTTTCTCTGTCCTTAGAAGAAGCGTTTGAACATGACTTCAGCACTTCCTGCTCTTTCAGCTTAAACTGCTCGATCTGCCGCTGAACGCCACAAATGTTGTCACCTGCCGGGGCTTTGCTGTCCCCCTGCTGACAGCTCGAAACGAGTGGCTTCACTTTGACGAGGTGCAGAGTTGGCGGGACTTCCACCGTCCTCTCCCTCAGACACAGTCCCGATCTCGAACCCACAGTGTCCAGGTTGTAGATCCGGCTCATGGCTTCCAGAGAGTTGGGATTAAGTGGTGAAGAGGAGAGAGATGATATAGAATCAAAAGGTACCTTCTCCTCTGATAGCTCCTTTTCCTTTTCCTCTTCCTCGTCGTCTTCTTCTTCTTCCGTGCTCTCGTATCGACCCCTGTGGCACCCCGGTTTCGCTTCTACATATTTCAGGGGGTCGTCTTCATCCCCGGATATCTGGGAGCTGTCAGAGGTGTCTTCAGCGGCGGCAGAGCAGCACTTGCCCAAGGCTTCTCCTCCGCTCTCGTCTAGTGTGTGGGGGACAGAAACAGGAAGCTGAGGGCAGGTTTTCAACACGCCGACTTCCTGTTTGACATCACATGCAGTCGTGGATGTCTGCTCCGCTGCCTCTTCCTGCATCCTCTCTGCGTCGACCGGCCTCGTCTGCTCACAAGCCGCAGCTTCCCACTCTCTCTCCTGTTCACTTCCCCTCTCTTCATACCCGACCTCACCTGTCTGAGCGTCACAGGTCTCTGCTGCTCCACCCTGAGCCTCTCTTTGCCTCTGCTTCTCCAGCTCTCGCTGTCTGATCTTCTCTCGCAGGGACTCGATGCGACTCAAGGGTTTCCCAACCCTCCAGCTGTCCCGCCTTTCAACCTGTTGTCCTCCATCGCGGTCTTGCCCATCGCTGCTTTGACACTCACTCTTTTTTCTCTCCACCATGTCTTCTGCAACATAAAACACAGTCCTGGGGATCTGAATTTCCAGAGGCCCTTGAAGCATCCCAAAGGGTGTGATCCTTTTTGGAGATCTGGTGGTTGCCTCTTGAGTCAGACTTCCTGTTTGTGCTTCCTGTTGGTTTTCTTTTGTCACTTCAGGAGAAGCCTTGTAAGCCGTTTCTCCTCTCTCGTTCGTATAAACAGTTGTGTCTCCTAGTTTTTCTACTTTGCTTATGAGAGTCTCAGTTTGTTGAGCTGAAGCACAATGTGTGAGGTAGGGTCCTTGTGGTCCTGTCCCGCTCCACTCCGGTCCTCTTTGATGGACTCGATCCAGAACTGTGCAGAGAAGACTGGAGCACTCGGTGAACGCAGAATCGTGTCTATATTGAGCTTCATTAGGACTGAGCGCTTCTACGTCGTTGTTTTCTAACCCATCGTCTCTCCGAACACCAGGCTTGTCAATAACGTGCGCCTTGGCTTTTCCTGAATCAGAATCTTTTTCCATGTTTTCCAAACTCTTCTCCCTCGTCAGTCGCCTCGCTTCCCTTTCAGCTCTTGTTCTCCCATCCTGCCTGATCGGCACTCTTCTCGCAAACGATATTCCTTCCGTGTTTTTAAGTGACGCTACAGTGAAACCCTTGTCTCCATCTGTCTCAGCTACTTTCTCTGTCGCTCTCTTTTCCACAAGTTCCACTTTCCTGAGTTCGCTCCGGTGCTTTTTCCATGCCTCCGCCTCATTTCTTTGCACCACATCTCCCTTATGATCCTCGTTTTTTACATCTCTGTACTTTCCGAAGCGCTCTTTATCTAAAAGCCGTGCGCAGCCCTGTTTGAGCTTTGCCAGAACGGCTGCATCTGCCCACGGCGCCACACTTTTATCTGACTGCGTGCATCTTTTGTCACCATTCTCCACGGCGCTGATGACTCGATCTGAGAAGCTGAAGGAGCGTTTTGGAACGCTTTTGCTGGACACGTTTGTTCCATCGCTCTTCATCCTGTCAGACTGTTGGTCATCTTCTTCTCCTGAGTATTTTCTCCTTCCCGGCTGGAGGAAATTATCCGAACTTTTGGATCTTGATGGAGGCTTTGGGTGTTCCCCAAATTTGCTCAGCAGCTGGCTGACTCTCCCTCCCCTCTCAACAAACACACAATCATCTGAGCTGTCTTTACTGTCATCTTTAATAACTGTCGCCTGGCCCCACGGTCTTTCCTTCTCTTTTTCTCTCAGCCAGGACATGTCTGCTCTCAGTTCCCTCCCCAAACTCTCCACACTGCACCTGGTTTCCCCCTCCTCTCCTCCCTTTTCTCCAGTAGTTCTCTCTTCAGTGCTGACTGAAGGTTTTATGATCAGAACTTCAGAAGCTCGGATCTCAGTGACACTCCCTCCTCCGGCCAGAATCTCCCTCAGGTCCATCTTCATCCCTCTTTTCCCATGCTGGTCCTCTTCAGGCCTCTCCCCGTCCACCTCTCTCCATCTTCCCCTCTGCTCGTCGCCACCTTTGCTTTCCTGTTCGATGATGATGATATTGTCAGCTCGGATGGTCCGAAGACACGGAACAGCGGGGGGAAACGCACCTGACAGTGGTTGGATTTCTTTTTCCTGCTCCCTCGCAGCATCCTTCTGTTGCTTTTTGTCTTTGTCCCACCTTTCTCGGCTGTTCTCTCGTTCTCTTCCCAGACTCCTATCCCTGGCCTTCTCCTTATCCCATCCCTGAGTTAAATCCCTAAACCTCTCTATTTTCAGCTCTGTATCTCGTCCTCTGTTCGTCTCCACATCTTGACCCCTGAGGCCTGATTTGTCCTTATCCTTAATGTCAGACTCATTCCCGATTTCAGCATCTCTGCCTTTTCGCCACACGCTTTGCGTGCGGATAAATGGGTTTTCATGGACTGGAACTATGGTTTCCATGGACACCTGACTAGCAGGTTTAGGCTCAGCATCCAGCCACTGTCCCGGATCTGGACTGAGGGACATGTCACTCCCCAGATTGACGGTGATGGAGCTGTCCGTGTCACTGAGGCCATCAGAAGGAGATCTGACGTCCACCTGCAGCAAACACACGTCTTTATCCTTCTCCCTGTCGCCCAGATTCTCCTGCTTTGCCTTCCTTCGCTGAATGATCCCTCGCTTCCACGCAGGCATGTTCGCTAACTTGTCCTCTTCCTCCTTTTCTCTCCTCTCCCGTTCTTCCTCCTCTCTCCTCTTTCTCTCCAGAAGAAGTTGCTTCCATTCCGGCAGAGAGGACACAGACATAACAAAAACGTGGTGCGCCTCTTTTGGACAGAACGATCAGAGCCTCTCCTCAGCGGGTCTGGAAACTCGACTGCAAACACAACAAAGAATCAAATAAAACAACTTTTTTCTCAGATTCTTTGACTAAAACATATAACTTTATTCACAAATGAAGTTTTGAGAAAGTCAACCCTGCTTTTCCTCTTTTTAATTATTAAATTATATTTTAACTTAAAGAAATAAATGATGAGTACGGTCACTAAAAACCAGCTTACCAGTCAAACTCCACCGGATTCAGCTCCACTTTACATCTCCACTCGTGCGTAACGCGCTCCTCTCCAAGACAGAAACTTCATTTCTCCGGAAGCAACAATTACGAGTTGAAGCTGATAACCTGGAGGTCAAAACTGCTGCAAAACCCGCATCATTTGTCTGAAAATGCGTTGCATGAAGGCTCGGAGTCGCCTCGGTTGCCGTTGCGGTTATTCCAGGACTGCAAAGGCTGTAATCCGATAATTACACTCAACGCCGTCAGGAGAGTTTAGTGGCACACACCATATTGTAGGACCAAAGAAAAGGCGTTTAAAGAGCACAGCCGTCTGCCCGGCTCCTGACCCCCCCTCGGCCCATCTCTCCGTCCAGTAGGAGGAGGAGGAGGAAGAAGGAGGAGGAGGCTATAAAACAGACTATATTGCCAGATTTGCCAAAGCGCAAAGCTGCAGCAGCCGCGGCATGATCAGCTCCACGCGGCACGCAGGTTACTTTGCTTTTACTCAATCCGGATCAGTTTGACAGCCATGTTTGTATTTAATTTAATCTGAGAAGATCAAAAGAGTGGGTGAAATATTCAGCATGAAAAGTTTGGCAAACGGCAGATAGAAGACACAAAACGTCTGAATGTATAAAATTGTTTTATATTAAAAATAAACTTGTAATGTAATCAAATCAGCATGTACTTCTGTAATTATCTGATAAAAGTACAGGTATAAAAACTGCACGCATGCAGTATTCAGACTCTCCACTAGAGGGCAGATGTCCAGTTGATGATCGCAGATTTTTGAGGAAATTCCTAATCCTAATCCAGTTTATTCTCATTTCAATTAAAGAAATGCTAAAATGCTCTGCTGTTCTACAAATTTCAACCTTCTGAATAAAACATTTCATTTTTTAGTGAAAAAGAACATTATTACATGTTTAAACCTCTCGAGAGTTTGTGATGCAGCTAAACTGCATTAAATTTTTGCTTTATTATATTTCATTTATGTTACTGATATCTGGCTAAAGATGAACCTTTACAGCAAAAAGTGACAACCCAATGATTGTTTAGTCAATTTCAACCTTTAATCAATTAATGTAGCTGAAAAAATGACCACCATGTTGCCAGTTTTCCTCCTCCAAAAGTTCCAGATAAATTAGACAAGTCAGTGATTTTCTGCTATAAAAATAAACCACATTATTCATTTAAAATGTTGCATTACAGTTTAAACAAGAAGCAACAATTATATAAGTAAATCAGACATCATAAAAGCCAAATAATATAAAATACCAACATTAATGATATTTAATGAAAATATAATGAAAATTAGAGAAACTTGTGAAATAAAACAACATAAACTCAAGTTCCTGATTTATCAATGACAATATTAACCCAGTTTGTCACATTAGACCAGACACATGAGCGTCCATAATTCTGTTGCATAAATTGTAAAAGAAATGCCTTTACATTTTATTAGTGATTTCCCAATCGAGCTGTGACAAACTAGGGCGTTTCCAGTGTGAAATCTGTGTTTAAATGAGACTGAGTTTAAACGAAAACACAGAAACACATTCTGAGTTCCAGGCAACGTAAACGTTTATAAAAAAAAATGCAGCACTTCCTTTAAATGGCACAACTCTCCACTTTGTCACATACAAAGTGACAAAAACTGCCACCTCGCTTTAGACTACAGCTGCAGTTAAAGTTGAAATTAATATTAAGATCACTTTTCCATGTGATTGCTGCTGTTCTGGTCTATTGTGGCATCAACGCTGCCTCGCTGTTGTTCTGCAATGAGGTGCACCTTGTTTCTAAACTGCATACAGAGGTAGGCTAAATCCTGTTTGTCCAGCGAGTGAGCCAGGGCCATGTAGGTGGACAGCATCCCCGCCAGCAGAAGCCTGTCCAGGGACAGGGCCGGCAGGAGCCACAGGATGACCACCAGCTCCAGGAACACTGGGTGGCGGAAGTGGGACAGGAGTCGCTGAGCAGGAAGTGATTTATGATACAAGGGGTCTCCTAAACCGAGACTCTTGTAGTACACCTAAAAGAGCCAATAAATAGGTATAATCAGGGTTTTATGGTTTTAAAGGTGTACTAGAACACTTTTTTACAATTGAAAACAGTTCTACGAAACTTTGTTGGAGCTCAAAATGGCACAGGAGCCCAGAAAAATGGCCAAATACAACCCCAGAGTGAGTGTTGGCCCGGCTGAGGTCCACACTGGGAGATGAATGAAAATAAACCAACTGATGTTGAGATGAGAGGGCTTGTGGAGGAATGAAGACGAGCATTTGGATCCCATCCTATGGATGTATCTGGGATCCATTCATAGCCTGGATACCACCAGTACATTCTGGAACATGAGTGGTGCTCCAGCATTCTTCTTTGTTGTTTTCCTCTCATCCAATAAGACAATTAGCAGTAGCTTGGGCTAGCATTAGCGATAGGTTTAGTTAGCATTAGCGGTAGTCAGGATAGCCTTATGAGTTGGTAGGGCAAGCATTAGCATTAGCTTTGTTATGAAGCTTATGGTGTCTAATGTAGCATACCAAAGAGTTTGTGCTAAACCAGGCCGCACAAACTCTTTGGAATGCTACATTAGACACCCCAAGCTTCATAACAACAATTTAAATGTAGTTTTAAATTCTAGGACTGTCTTAATCATTTGCTTGAGGAAAAAAACATATCTAACATGTTTCTTTGATACATGACTTTCTCACCTGCTTGATGCCCAGTAGTTCTGGGTAATCAAAAATCATGAGGATGCTACAGATGATGGACCAGCAGAGGAAGTGTAGAGAAAAGCAGAGCAGGGGGAACCAGACACTCCAGGGTGCAATACGCACCGACCACAAGCAGGGAGCGCCAGTCACTGTCTGCCAGTAACGCATCAAGACCTAACACAGGAAAGTAAATGATTATGTAGTTATAAAGTATGCAGGTGATTAAGATTAATACTTCCTATAGAAATTAATGGCACATCTGTAAATTAGGGGTTATTAAATTATTTCAATTGTGGGGCATTTAGTTCACCTGTGATTTTATTCCAACCAATGTATAATCTGTCCATCACTGCAGTTAGCATATTATTATGGTTGTTCTAGAATATTAAAGCATATATTTTCAGTACTTTTAGTGTACCTGCAGAGCAAGTGCAGTAGTGAAGCAGTAAAACGTCCTGTTTAAGGTTCCCAGAGCTGACTGTAGGACCTGTTTGACCGGAGACCAGGCGAGCAGGCTGTGTTGTGCAGTGAAAAGAGCCACTAAACACACATCCACAGCTAGAGACCAATGCACCGAGCTGTCCCTCAGAGCCACAGACCAAGGTATGGAGTCTTAATGGAGACAAATAACACTTTATAAATAGTCATTTCATTTAGGTAGTATTAATCAAGATTAAATCAAAATTATTACAACAAAACTAGTTAGAGGCACATGTTATGTATCAAAATGCATTTGCTGCATATATGATGAATTTACTCATACAGATATATAAAATTATGTCAGTAAATTTTCAAGAATAAAGGAAAAAGCTATCGCCCAACGTGGGGCTCGAACCCACGACCCTGAGATTAAGAGTCTCATGCTCTACCGACTGAGCTAGCCGGGCTGTGGGGACACACAGTCACAGTAGACATTATCATAGTGACTGAATAGTTTCGTCCAGGCTTACTGATGTTGAATATAATTTCTCCATACCTGAATTTGCTTAACAGCCGTAAATGTGACTTTAAATGTTATTTCTGAACAGTGCGTTAACTTTCCAGGCTACCATCTGTCGCTTACCTTGACAGAGTCTCGTCTCCCCTGTAATGTTATGATAAATTGCTCGAAACGACAAAAACCGAATGAAATCTGCTCCGGATATGAAGACAAACAACAAGTTTAGCAGGGAAACCGCGCAGAGCCCCCACTTGCGTATAGTGACTGACGCCATTTCAATCAACTCCTCTTCATGTCACTTCCACAGTTCCGGTGTTGAAGTGCTTGTGCGACACGAGGGCGCTGTTGCCCATCTAACTCTTGGTTTCAAAGCGTCGTGAAGAACCTTGTTTTGAACTTTTCCAAACAGAGCAAATGCCATATACGGCAGCAGAAATAAGTGAAAGCCTATGAAGAAAAGTAGAAAATAAGGTTTTAAACGAAATTAGATATTGCTTACGACCTTACCACCCTAAAGTACGCCCGATCTCGACAGCAATCTAGGCTAGAACCTGGTCAGTAGTTGGATGGGAGACCGCTTGGAATACCATGTGCTGTAAAGCTTTTCACTGCTCCAACACACACACAAAAAATGCAGTTAAGAAAAAAAAATTAGGGGGCAGCTCAGAGGGTAGAACAGAAGGTTCAGTAATTGGAAAGTTGCAGGTTCCATTCCAGGTCCTGACAGAGAACCCCGTTGAAGCGTCCCTGGGCAAGACACCCAACCTTCCCCAGCAGCTGGTGGTGGTTGAAGAAGAAGAGGTGCTTCACAAAATATAACAATATAAAAAAGAATTTAGAAAATTATTAAAATATATTTAAAATGCACAAAAAATAGACAATTGTGATTAAAAATGTGGAGAAAGAGAGAGAGTGAATAGGAAAGAGGGAAATCAGTGGATCCTCATGGAAGGTGGAATAGGC